CCGGGGGGGAAAAGGGGGAACCCCCCCCCAAAAAAAAAAAAAAAAAAAAAAAAAAAAAAAGAGAGTGAGAGAGGTGATGAATATGATCAAAATACAGTATATACACCTAACATACGTTAATAGGAATGATTAAAGGGGAAAGTGAGAAGAAAAGGAAACTAAGGCTAGAGAGACGGCTCAGTGGTTAGAGCACTGGCTGCTCGTGCAGAGGACCCAGGTTGGATTCCCAGCATGCACATGGCAGTTAACAACCACCCGTAACTGCAGTTCCAGGGGATCTGACAGCCTCTTCCAGCCTCGGTGGGTATTGCATGCACAAAGTGCATTTATATGCATGTAGGCAAAACATAAAATTTAAGAAGATATTAAAAAAGAAAACAAAACAAAAATAACTTCTTTAGATAACACACTGGACCCCTGTAAAGGCTTCGGCTGATGGCCTTCTCTGGCCCCCTGCCCTGTGACACTTTGACTTGCAGATGTACTCCATACCCATGAACGGTAAGGAGTAAAACATTTCCATCTTGTGTCTCTTAATTGCCACCCTCCCTCCTCTCTCTCTCTCTCTCTCTCTCTCTCTCTCTCTCTCTCTCATCTCTTTCATTTTTGAGTTGAGGTTTCTCTGTGTAGTCCTGGCTGGCCTGGAACTCACTATGTAGACCAGGCTGGCTTCAACCTCACAGAGATCTGCCCGCCTCTGCCTCCTACATGCTGGGATTAAAGAAAAGCGCCACCATGTCCGATCATGGCTCTCTTAATTTTGCAGGAAGAGCTGAGCTTGTTAAAGATCCTATCATGCAGCGTCTTCCCCAGGACTTACATGCAAAGGAAGGTGAAACACACACACAGGCAGAGCAGGGCCATAGCACCAGCACCTCCCAGGGCCGCAAGGACCTGTGAGCCTCTTTCCCCACACTCCGGTTTCCCTGCAGACAGAATGACAGGTCTCACCCTCGGGATGGTGGGCCTTTGCTCCCCCCAGACTCAGCTAGCACCCCAGCCCCTCTCTCCTCCCATGCACCCCTTTGACATCCCTGTCTCCCTCCACAGCAGGTTGCTCACCGGCCAGCAGCAGGACAGTGCCCCTCTGGGCCCCAAAGTCATTCTGGGCCTCACAGCTGAGCCTCAAGTTAGAACCAAACCCTCCGTGTAGACTCAGGGAGCCGTTGGCCCAGGGTCCCGTTGAGCTGGAGGTGACGGTGAAGGAGACATTGCTGCTGTTCCCCTCCAGCAGCCCCTCCCCCAGCCGCCAGTGCAGGGAGGGGGCCGGCCAGGCTCTGCAGGAGCAGCTGCAGTGCAGACCCTCAGCCTCCCAGGAGCAGGAGGGTCCCAGCATCCGTGGAGGTGCTGTAGGGGGTGGGGAGGAGAAGGGTCAGCCCGTGTCTCCCTTTTCAAGACCCAGGTGTCTTGTCCCAGCGTCCCAGCGACACTCACAGACCAAGAAGAAGTTGAGAGAGAGCGTTGTAGAGCCCACTGCGTTCTGAGCAAGGCAGGTGAGGCCTCTGGCTTCTGCAGGCCCCGCTAGAAACAGTTCCAAGGTCCCATTACCAGGATCACAGGAGGCATTCTGGGAGGGAGACTCTTGGCACCAGCTCAGTTGTACGGGTGGATTGCTTTGTGCCTCACAGCGCAGCTGCAGATCCTGGCCCTGCCGGACCATGAGGGATGAGGCATTGTGTGTGATCTTGAGGTCTATAGGGAAGGAGATGCAAAGGCACAGAGAGAGAGAGAGAGAGAGAGAGAGAGAGAGAGAGAGAGAGAGAGAGACAGACAGACAGACAGAGACAGACAGACAGAGACAGACAGACTTAAGAGACCCAGGCTTGGTCTGACTGGCCCCTCCCCTCCTCTCCTTGGGTCTCAAAGGCGGCCATTTACACCCTCAGGATGTTGACCAAATGCCTTCTGGCTCTAAATCAGCATGGAACCCGACATGCCTGGGCTGTGTGGGGGAAAGAAAACAGTCTCTGATAGCTATGGAAAACATGTAGACACAGCAAAAATAACTCCAAGGAGGCCAGGGCCAGAGGGACAGAAAGGCCAAAGGGCCTGGCTGAGGAGAGGTGGGGTGGGCAGGGACTTGGTCTTAGTGACACTGAGAACTGGACCCTGGGGAAGTATGGAGTAGGATGGGATGGTCCAAGACCCTCCTCTGAGTTTTAGCAGTGTCTGAGCACAGACAGGGAAAGGAAATAGTAGACAGAAAATGTTGATCTGTTTTCTGCTTCTCAGTAGTACTGGGGATCGAGCTTAGAGCTTTGTACAAACTAGGTAAGGGCTCTTTCATAGAGCCACAAGTCCAGCCCCTCTCTGGGGGATTCTAGGCAGGGCCTCTACCCCTGAGCCACACCCCAGCCCCTCTCTGGGGGATCCTAGGCAGGGACTCTGTTCCTGAGCCACACCCCAGCCCCTCACTGGGGATCCTAGGCAGGGACTCTGTTCCTGAGCCACACCCCAGCCCCTCACTGGGGGAGTCTAGGCAGGGGCTCCACCATCGAGCCACACCCCAGCCCCTCACTGGGGGATTCTAGGCAGGGACTCTGTTCCTGAGCCACACCCCAGCCCCTCACTGGGGGAGTCTAGGCAGGGGCTCCACCACTGAGCCACACCCCAGCCCCTCACTGGGGGATTCTAAGCAGGGGCTCTACCATTGAGCCACACCCCAGCCCCTCACTGGGGGATCCTAGGGAAATGTTCTATTCCTCAGCTACATCACCAGCCTTGTGTTTTGTTTTTTATTTTGAGAGCAGGCCTAAGTTGCTCAGTCTGGCCTTGAACTTGCCATTGTCCTGTCTCAGCCCCTGAGTAGCTGGGATGCCCTTCCTCCTCCAGAATCAGATCCTTTCAAACTCTGATTCACTACCTCTGCTTGTAGGTAGTTTCAGCCCTGAGAGGGAAGACGGTTTCCTACCTGTGCCATTGCTGAAGAAGAGGCTGATGCTGAGGTTCTGTGGAGCATCTGGAAGGGAAGACAGGGTACCTGCTCAGAGCAAGCAGTGTGGGCTGTGTGTGCCCTGGAAGGACCACAGGACCAGAAAGCAGGAGATGGCGTCTCTGACCCACTCTGCACATGGACTCCAAATGCTCTGCTCCACAAAGGAATTCTTTGGGGTTATATCTCCACCTCTCTCTGTCTGTCTCTCTTTCCTGTTTGTTTCTATGTCAGTCTCTCTGTTTCTTTCTGTCTGTCTTGGTCTCCCTGTCTCTCTCTTTCTCTCTCTCTCTCTCTCTCTCTCCTCACACACACACACAAACACACACACACACTGTCCACCGTCCATGGGGACCCATCCCTCCCTCCCAGCACTCACAGGACACACTGAGCTGAACAGTTCTCTCTGTGGTCAGCAGAGGTCTTTCCAGTTTCACTTGGCAGGTGAGGTTGGTATCATGGTCCTGAGGCCGTGGGGTGAAGGCGAGCCCTGGCTTGCGGAGGGTCCTAGGGTCCATGGAGTTGATGACGTCCCCTATCCAGGAGAAGCTGATCCGTCCTCCTCCCCGGCAAGACCCTGGCAGGCTGCAGCTCAGATTTGCAGGGCGGCCGGCCTGCAGAGGCTCCTCCAAGTGGATGATGGGTTTCTCTGTCAGGGCTGAAGAGGACACAAGAAGGTGTCTGGGCTCAAGGAGGTGAAGACTGCCCCCACCCCATGACCCTGAAAGTGACCAAGCTGTCCCCAGGTCCTGTATCCGTTCTGGCCACCCCGCCTTAAGTCCAGAGCAGAGGGAGCCTAATGCCCTGTGTGCTCTTATATGGGGCCTCAGGAACCTAGATCATCCACTGGGGCCCCTGCCCACCTGTCACCCTCAAGTTCAGCTTCTCCCTGTAAATGTATTTCTCCTTTCCTCTCTCAATATATAAGACATAACGTCTTCTGTCCTCCCTCCTGGCTCCTGTGATGCTCAGGGAGCAGTTGTTGGTCTTGGTGTCCCCAACGAGGTGGAATCGACCCTTGGTCTCTGTCTTCACTTCTCGGTCTGGTTTGTCTGTGGCCACGGGATCATCATAGAAGACGTTGTCCTCTTCCCAGAACCAGGCGATGTGGAGCGGCTGCAGCAGGTTGTAATGCCCCCGATGTTGGGGATAGGAGAAGGAACAGGGTACCAGCACACACAGGCCCTCCTGCACTGTCACCGACTCTGGCACTTGGAGGCTGAAACTTGGATCCCGGGCCAGGGACCCTGGGGGGACAGGGAGGCTCAGGTGCTGCTCTGTCCCCTGCCCATTCCCCTCCCTCTGTCCACTCACCAGCCCACAGCAGGGGCAGCAGCAGCAGGGCCAGCATCTTATGTCTGCTAGAGCCTGTGCGGGGCATGTGGGGTTGGGGGGAGGAGGTCCAACAGGAAGTCAGCCTGTGAGAGGAGCTGTGGCCAGACTCCAGCCACCAAAGGGGAACTCGGGTTTCATGTGCTGTTGGGGGTGTAGGGAGGATCTGGTCTGCTAAGTTATCTACCCGCCCCCACCACCACCTTTACTAGATGACAGGGCTGAGGTCCCCAGGGGGTAGAGGCTTGTCCAGACAGCAACCTGGCAGTGCCTTTTTCCCTGTGGTGTTTACATTGACAGCAAGTTCAGCCAGGGGCTAGACAAGATAAAAAGATCAGTAAGGGTCCTTCCTGGTGGTTGGTGGGAGGCATGTCAGAGCCACCCTCCAGCTGAGGAAAACCGTAGAATGCTGCAGAAAAACACACTTTAGTTTTATGCACAAGGTCAGAAGAGAGGATGGTTGATATTATCACAGACTTGACAGGGTCTAGAATCACCCTGAAGACATGTGTACGTGCTTCCGAGGGATAAGCCTGACCAGGTCAGTTGAGGCGGGAACACCCAGCCAACAGCTTCCTGGTCTTCAGTCTTGGACTGCGTAAGAGGGAACAGGGAGCTGAGCACAAACCCTTAGGCTCTCTCCCTCTTGGCTCTGGGTGGGATGTGACCAGCTGCCTCACGCTCTGTGGCTGTGACTTCCGCACCATGAGGGACTGTGATCTGGAACGGTGACCCCTATCAACCCATCCTTCGCTAAGTTGCTTTTGCTAGAACGTTTTATCACAGCAACTGGAGAAAGTAACTGTTGCACTAAATTTCTCCCCTTTTCCCTTCCTGGGAGGCTCCCGCACGTCCTCCAAGATCCCAGGGCTTACAGACTAACACAAGACATTTTTAGTTTGGGTTTTGTACCATTTTATGACTTTGGGAGGGAGTGACCTACAAAGAAACAGCTTCTCAGGACCCGTGCATCACTGAAACCCTGCCCGCAGTATCCATTAACGTTCACGCTGCACCCATGGTCTTAAGTGTCCCATCCCGTGTTCACACCCTGTGGGAGGCTGCAGTTTTCCCAACAACCCCCGCCCTCGACATACTTTTCTCTGTTCCAATCCTGCTATGCTACCTCTCTGTCTGCGGGGGGCCGCTCCGCCCCTCTTCCCAGGGTGCTCCTCATCTTGTCCCTGGCTTACACTTTTCAGAGGAACGAGTACTTTTCTGGCTACAGTAACCAAGATAGAAAAGCACTGTTGAAAAATTAGTTATTGGCTAGTGGGAAGTCAGGGACGGTGCTGCATGAGTTACCTGGAGATAACTGGACAGACCTCGATGCTCCCCAATGAGGGCACTGACTACAGGCCAAAGAATGAGTCTACCTAATTCAGCTTGGTGAGCCAATGAGCTTATTGGGGTTACTTAGAGGAATGTGGATGACTCAAAAGCAGCTATGTTACTGAGTAGCTCACCCCAGCGAGGGTCATGATGCACCAAAGCTACATCCTTGGGACACCTTGCCCAACTTGCAGGCAACGCCACTGGAGCATCTTCTGTCCCCAGCCACAGTCACTGTTAATGTAACCATGGGGTGAGGCCTGAACTTTCTGAGCTTGAGTTTTGTAAGTGTCCTTAATTTCCTGAGACTTTAGAGTCTCCCTCTACCTTCCAGGAGTAACAGTGACTCAATAGGGAAGAAATGAGTCCAAATAGAGGGGTGAGGTGCTTTGAACTAGAGGATGTTGAGAACAATGTGCAATATGGGTTGGGTCTTCACAGACCTAAGAGTGGGGTGGGCCAGCAGGGAGACAGGATGTGGGAGGGGGAACTTCATCCCTTGAAGAAGCGTTTGGAACAAGGTCTTCTGATGCAGCATCTTTGCAGTGATGGAGATGATCTGAACTTTTTCTGTTTTATGAATGAAACTTAACATTTTCTCCTAATATAACAAAGACCCAAACACAGTTTAGGCACTCCACGTAATAACTCATGACATGAAAGGAAGTTTCTTGACCTGTTAGGGGCAAAAGGAATTTCAGCATCGGTGAGATCACTCAGCAGGTAAAGGTTGACGACCTGAGTTCGACCAGATGCTGTAAGCAGAAAAGTGACTCTTAGAAGTTGTCTTCTGACTTCCATATCCATGTGCCCTCCCAAAATGAATGAATGAATGAATAAATGAATTAAAAAGAATTTGGTTAACAACATAAGAAAAACAATAATGCCCGTGTCCATCTGTGAGAAAACACCCTCTGCTAAGTGACTTACATGACAGAGAAAGGTGTTTATTTCAGGTAGCCAGGACGCAGCCCGTCGTGGGGAAGTCAAGGCAGGAACTTCCAGCAGCTAGTCACGCTAAGAGCATATGCACACGTGGATGAATGCGCACACACACCTATGTGCACTCAGATGTATACATCGCACAAATAGAAAAACAAGAACTAAATAGGGGTTGGAGATATGGCTCAGTGGTCAAGAGCCATCTTGCATAGCACCCCCATTCTTACTCCAGCACCCACATGAAAGCTCACAGCTGCCCCAAACACTAGTTCTAGGGGATCTAAAACTTTCTTCTGACTTCCCTGGGCATTGCGTGACATGGATATGGGTACACTTACATACATGCAGCCAATACACTCATCCACATAAAATTTTTAAAAATGTTTAAATAAAGATAAAAAATAGATTTTTTCCATTTCTTAGCTATTGTGAAAAGAGCAGCAATAAAGATGGTTGTTCGAGTGTCTCTGTAGGAGGATGAGTTCTTTACACAACAAGAAGTGGCATAACTGGATCGTGTGGTGGATTTATTTTTGGCTCCATTTTATTTTATTTTATTTTATTTATTTAATTTTATTATTTTATTTTATTTTAATTTATTTTATTTTATTATTTTATTTTATTTATTTTATTTTATATTTTATTATGTCTTTTCGAGACAGGGTCTCCCTGTAGCCCCAGCTGGCCTGGAACTCACTATGTAGACCAGGCTGGCCTTGAACTCACAGAGATCCCCCTGCCTCTGCCTCCTGGGTGCTGGGATTAAAGGCACCTTGCTGGCATTTGGTGTCATTTACTCTCTTTTTTTTAAATTGGATTTTTGTGATTTTTCATAAAATATAGCTTGATGGCATTTAGATCTCTTCCCTACCCACACATCCCCTATTGCCCTTGCTCAATTTAGTCTCTTTCTCCATATATGTATATGTATACCTCTAGAGTCTGATTGTGTCCCTATATTTCCTTCAGTGTGGGTCCATCCACTGGGCCCACTGAGTCCCAGCCCTATAAGACACTGTGTCTCCCCCTCCCAGCAGCCACCAGTTGCCAAAAGCTGCATAGATTGGGTTGGGATTTCTTACCCACTTCCCCAGGCCTATGCTGGGATTTTGTCCATTCTGAGCATGCACAGGACTTGTGTGTGCTGTCACCGTTGTTGTGAGTTCGTATGAGTGACTGAGCAGCTGTCTGGAAGACTCGGGTTCCTTGGGGTCATCCACCCCGTCTGGTTTTACAATCTGCCTCCTCTTCCACAATGACTGCTGAGCCTTGGAAGAAAGAGGTTTTTAATAAGTGTCTCATTCATGGACAGGCACTCTGGCCTATTCTTTGCAGATTGGCCAATTGAGGGTTTTTTGTATTAATTACCATCTGCTGCATAAGGAAACTTCTCTGGTGAGAGTTGAGAGATGCATTCATCGTACGTGTAGAGGTTGCATTCGGAGGAGTGTCACTTAAGAATGTCTCACAGAAACTTATTCTCTGCATTTGACTAGTTATGGAGCTCCGTAGTAGGCTCTATCTGTAGTAAAAAGAAGCTTCTTTGATGAGGTCTGAAAGGTACACTTGCCTGTATATATGAGGATACTTATATTTTAAAAATATTTTGAGTTTTTGTGCATTTTACATAATAGTTCTTCATCAAATTTAGACCCCCTCCCATGTGCCCCAAAGCCCCCCACCCGATTTCATGCATTCTGTCATATATGTTAAGTCCTATCAGGTCAAGAATTTGTATCCAGATGTCCCTCAGTGGAAATTCATCCACTGGAGTCTAGTCAGCCTGTCTAGAGTCCCTCCCTTAAAGTACAGTCTACTCTCCCTCACCCCAAGTAATCAGTGGCCCATAGTTCGTAGCTAGGGTGGGGGCCTCCTACCCATTTCCCTCATTCTATGCTGGGTTTTTGTCTGATTGATTCAGCATGGGCCCGTGCATGTTGACACCATTGTCGCAAGTTCCTTTGAGCAAGTTTCAAGGTTCCTGAAAGCCTCTGTTTCCTTATGTTCATGCACCAACCCTGACTCTTACACGCTCTCTGTCCCCTCTTTGGCAATGGTCCCTGAGCTGTGGGTGGACGAGTTTTAATCCAGGAGTCCTGTCCAGGGACACACACTCTGCAGTCTCTTGTTCTCTAAAACTTGGCCTGTTGTGGCTGTCTGTGTGCATCACACTGTTGTATGAGGCAACTTTGCTGGTGAGAGTTGAGGGATGTGTTGGTTTTCTCTCTACCCTCTGTTCCACTATGTTCCATGAGTCTTGGTTGTAGAGGTTCCACTGTAGATGTGTGGAGGATACATATTTAGAACACAGTAAGAAACTACATTGGTCTACGGATGTGGCAAAAGTAGGTGTTTCTCTAGGATCTGTGACCTTGGCAGCCATGTGTATTTGGCTGTGTTTAGAGTATCACACATGAGCTCCCTCCCACTGAGTGGGCCCAATTCCAGTTAGACAGCTGTTGGTTACCCCCCACGATAAAAGTGCCAGTACTGCATCAATAGCGATAGTTTGTTGGGCCAGTCGTGGTTGTTTATTAGCCTTTACGGCTGGGTAGGACCATTGATTGCTCCTCTCTCGGCAGTTTACATAGTGTCCTCTAACGCCACGAGAGGCAGTCCTCCAGGAGGAGTTTCCAGGTCAGTTCCAGCTCCATTGCTCCAAGTCTTGTGTCTGAAGTGTGTCCTGTCTTCAGCAATGGGGTCTTAGCTTCAAGTTCTGGGAGGCAATCAAGGGCTGTGGCAATAGTCTGGGCCATTTTGGGAGTCTCTTGGAGTATGCTGACCAACAACTCGC